CCCCAAAACCCCAAAACCCCAAAACCCCAAAACCCCAAAACCCCATTATTTTCGAGAAAATTGAGATGGATTCACCATTCCTATCAACTCTTCCAAAAGTGCTGACGTATAAGGAGAAAATACCTAACCAAAAACTGATCAAAAGGTGAAACCTCTTGGAAAAACCCAAAGACTCAATAGCATTGTTTATAGTCAATCTTATTACTAAATACCTAATATTCCTTCTTATCAAGTGCTACGAATGACGTAATCTTTAAACAATGTATCAGTAGTACTTGAAATAGGTGAGGATGCTAAGCACAAAGGCTATTTTCCCTTGGCTGATGAACCTTCTCAGTAAGAACTGTACAATATTCACAGTATACTTCGAGAAGAATGGCTCCTTAAGAGCGTATTTGAACAGACCTTTCCATCTTCCAGTCAGCTCTTGCTGTTCAGTTTCAGTCCTGCAGTTTGAAGACTTCTGAATTCAGTATATGATCCCAAAAATTTCTATCAACAAAGAAGCCGAAAATGGTTTGTAGGATTCGGCTCCATGTTTAAGATATAAGTACATGTAAATTACCGGGCGAAGGATTAACAAGATCTCGACAATTTTGAATTTGCGTGATCCCAATACTTTCAGCAAGTATTTAAACCTCTTAAGAAAGAAGTGAATCACCTTGCTAAAAAATCCTTTTCTCTGTATATGATCCTCACGTAGGATCTCTCTAATTATAGGTTTATCCATATTTCTGGAGAGCTTCTGGTGCTGATCATCCTCCAAACTAGCCAAAGAATCCACGCTCTGGGCGCTCTTCAAAGCAAATTTTAACATTTTATTCGAGATTTGAAATTTATCCGGTTTTGGGAGCTTCTTTTTCGATCTGGGGAGCATGACTATTGACTTCATCTTCTCTTCATCAGTTTTATACACTTCATAGAGCTCTTTAGAGATGTAGTAGCCGATCCTTTCTTTGGTAATCAGGCCTACGTATTCTTTCAGCTTTAGAAGAGCTTTAACAGCCTCAAAGAAATAAATCAAAGGCTCTACAGTCTCATTCAAATGCGCGAATGTGAGTTCACAGAGCATCTCGATCTGGGAGAGCGTGCTTGACAAGTAAACCAGCTTTGATTCCTTACTGAATATCTGCTTCCTAATAGTGTTGACTTCGCCTATTAGCTGGAAGGCGTATAATCCTAGATGCAGCTTCGAACCACTTCCTCTTTGAGTACTCACGCTCATAATTAATTATTTTTGAGTCATTTATTTTATAAATATGGACACCCCTCCTGGGGTTTTGGGGTTTTGGGGTTTTGGGGTTTTGGGGTTTTGGGGTTTTGGGG